CACGGGGAGACAGCTTGTCCGCAGATAAGTGGCAGACAAACGCCCGAGATCCCCAGACACGAAACGCAGACGCATTACCAACCTTCCCGGTCCACCGCAAGGCGGGGGAGGTCTCTGGCAAGGAGACCCAGCTGAAGGTTGAGCTGATGCGCGGCGTACTGAACCGCAAACGGCCACAGAACATGGGGAGCAACCGCATGGATCATGGACGTACAAGCAACGTCCATGACCATGCCAATGCGGCGCTCAGCAATCCCATTTTGCTGTGGAGAGGCCGGAAGCGTGAAGGTCTGGCGGATGCCCTGTGCACGACAGAAGGCTCCTAGAAAGGCAGAGGAAAACTCCCCGCCTCTGTCAGAGTGCAGACGCATAACAGGAAAGTCCGAGCCGAAACTCTCTCTGGGCTGGAGACGAGCTGCGTGGATCCAGTCGATCAACACATCTGCGATGTCGCCCTTGCTGCGCAAGGGGAACATCGTGGTGTAACGCGAGTAGTCGTCAACCACCAACAGGAAGTAACGCTCGTGACCCTCGCCATGGACGCTGGCGGTGCCCCACACGTCCATGTGAAGAGTCTGCAGCAGCGCCTTTGTCGGAGGAGTGAGGGGCGGCGCGCTGCCGCCCCTCGACGTAGGGAACGTAGGTAGGGGCAGGCCTCGGAGGGAGGGGAGGGAGGGACCGGGGGAGACCAGAGACAAGGTTACAGGAGGCTATGCCTTGGAGACGAGGTAGGGAGGGGTTACCAAGGCGGTGGTGCCATAGGAGAGTCTGGTGGGACAGAAGACGACACGAGCACGGAGTAGACTCAGGACCAGACCTGGACGCTGCAGCAAACACCTGACCCGGCGCAGCTACCTAACCAGACTCAACAACCGGAGGAGACTCAGTAGTCAGTGTGTATAGGCTCGACCCCGGCCGACGGGTAAACGTGGCCAAGTGTCGGCCCGTCCGAGCACACGTGCAGTGGGTCACTCGCTGACTCGCAGGAGTGAACTGGTCAACCCCCCCATCATGTAGATCAGCACCATTCACTAAGTTCGTAGAGAACAAGGGGAGGTAGAGACCTGACTAGGTGCCAGTGGGGGCTGCCGAGCACGGTAAGACAGTGGAGAAGCGAGCAAGGACAGGACCCCCAGAGGGGTCCGCCAAGGAGACCGCAACTGGCCGACTAAGCGGCATAAGCGTGGTGCGGTCTCGAAAGAAGGAGCGGGAAGCACCCGAGTTAAGAGTGACGGTGTGTAAGGCTTGAGCCGACGTGGTACCTGAGAGAGCAGACTCACCAGCACCTGGGGCAGCAGACGCACTAGCACCTAGAGCAGCAGCCTAACCAGCACCTAGAGGAGCAGCCTCAATGCCCGGGTCAGGCGGAACACACAGGTAACAGTCATTCTCATCACTAGTAGGCAATGCATACATGGCAGTGAGGATAGCATCATAGTCAAGAGTATAGATATCTACTCGCAGCCTAAGCAGCTCCACCCTGTCAGGGAGCTCAGCCGCGTCGCCAAACTATGTACGCCAGGCGTCGCTCAGACGGGCGAAGCAGCGGGACTCTGCGTGACCAAACGTCCCGCAAGGCTGGCCAGTCGGAGCACCAGTGCAAATGACGTACGGACAGCGAGCAGTACCCCGTGACCCGCCACGCTGTGCGTACCACTCACGAAGCTGCTGGGGCGAAAGGACCGCGCACGGACGACGCTACAGCTGCACCTGGCCACTACAAGCAGCTGCCAAACTACTCACTCCAGGATGACTCCCACTACGGCCACCTCGACAACCCCAAGTAGCGTACCACTCACGAAGCTGCTGGGGCGTGAGGGACTCATGCGGACGTCGCTGGACCTGCATCTGGTCAACGCCAGGAGCAGCAGGAGCAATGGCAGCCGAAGTAGCAATAGCAGTAGTCGCAGCGCGGCCACCCCTATAACCCCAAGTAGCGTACCACTCACGAAGCTGTTGGGGGGTAAGGGACTCACGCGGACGACGCTGGAGCTGCATCTGGCCACGCCAGGAGCAGTAGTAGCAGTAGAAAGATTAGTAGCAGTAAGAGCAGTAGTAACAGCAGTAAGGGCAGGGCAGTGCTCACCAGTGGCGAGAAGGGCAGGCGTACGATGGCGGCAACGGCGAGGCAGCTACCACTGTAGGGCGAGGGCTCCGCGGCAGCTGCAGGGGCGGCCGTTGTAGGGGCAGCTGCTCTAGGGGAAACTGCTCCAGGGGCGGCAGTTGTAGGGGCGGCTGCTCTAGGGGCGGCTGCTGCAGGGGTGGCTGCTCCAGGGGCGGCTGCTGCAATGGCGGCTTCTCCAAGGGCGGCTGCTGCAGGGGTGGCTGCTCCAGGGGCGGCTGCTGTAGGGGCGGCTGCTCCAGGGGCGGCTGTTGCAGGGGCGGCTGCTCTAGGGGCGGCTACTACAGGGGTGGCTGCTCTAGGGGCAGCTGCTGCTGTGGCGGCTGCTCCTGGGGCGGTTGCTTAAGGGGCGGCTGCTACAGGGGAGGCTGCTCCAAGGGCGGCTGCTGCAGTGGCGGCTGCTCCAGGGGCGGTTGCTGCAGTGGCGGCTGCTCCAGGGGCGGCTATTGGAGTGGCGGCTGCTCCAGGGGCGGCTGCTGCAGGGGCGGCTGCTGCAGGGGCGGCTGCTGCAAGGGTGGCTGCTCGAGGGGCGGCTGCTGCAGTGGCGGCTGCTCCAGTGGCGGCTACTCCAGGGGCGGTTGCTGCAGGGGCGGCTGCTCGAGGGGCGGCTGCTGCAGGGGTGGCTGCTCCAAGGGTGGCTGCTGTAGTGGCGGCTGCTCCAGGGGCGCCTGCTACAGGGGCGGCTGCTCCAGGGGCGGCTGCTGCAGTGGCAGCTGCTCCAGGGGCGGCTGCTGCAGTGGCGGCTGCTCCAGGGGCGGCTGCTGCAGTGGCGGCTGCTCTAGGGGCGACTGCTGCAGGGGCGGCTGCTCCAGGGGCGGCTGCTGCAGGGGCGGCTGCTCCAGGGGTGGCTGCTGCAGTGGCAGGTGTTCCGGGGCGGCTGCTTCAGGGGCGGGTGCTCCAAGGGCGGCTGCTCCACGGGCGGCTGCTGCAGGGGAGGCTGCTCTAGGGGCGGCTGCTGCTGTGGCGGCTGCTCCAGGGGCGGCTGCTGCAGTGGCGGCTCCTCCAGGTTCGGGTTAGGGCAGGGTGCCGCGGCGGGCAGGGGTGACGCCACGCAGGTCCCGCAGGGGCGTCGCGACGCACAGGAGCCGCGCCTCGCGGGTCCCACAGGGGCGACGCGACGAGGCGGGGGCGACGCGGCGGGGCCGCGCCTGGCGACGGGGCGGGGCCGCGATTGGCGACGGGGTGAGGCCGCGAAGGGGCCGCGAAGGGAGCCGTGAGGGGGCTGCGAAGGGGCCGCGAAGGGGGGCCGCGAGGGGGCCGTGAAGGGTCTTGCGAAGGGGCCGTTAAGGGGCCGCGAAGGGGCCGTTAAGGGGCCGCGAAGGGGCCGCGAGGGGGCTGCAAGGCTGCCGCGTGAGAGGGGCCGTGAGAGGCCGTGAGAGGGGCCGCTACGGGGCCGTAGGGGAGCGCGACGGGCCACTAAGGGTAGGGGACGCGACGGGAGGGTAGGCACAAGGGGCGCGACTCAGGCAGGGGCGAAGCGCGTTCTGGGTAGGAAAAAAAATCGATATTTGGTGGGCCCTAGGAAACGTTCCCACTAGGGAACCTGCTCTATACCATGTGGAAGAATGAGGAATGAATGAACTAGCAAGCAGGTGGGTACAAGTAGGAAAAACTAAAAGTGTTGTACCCTATACTGCCTAACCCACTATAGCCTACACAGACTATAGCATATGAGTTTGACACTTTGGCACCATGCTACAAACCAGGAAAGCTACCTCTGAGTGACCACTGCCCCGCCTTAGGGACGTCGTTATTCCTCTAGAGCCTTCCGCTGCGCTCTAGCAATTTTCAGATCGTATCATGAAGCACAGTCGGTTTTCAGAATTTTCCTAATGTTCACTGTGTTGAAGCCTGTCACATCAAAGCATACGCTTATTTACCACCCACTTGTCGCAGGCATGGTAAAGAATCTGGGGTTTAGGGGAAATTCTGTTTGATAGACACAATTTTGATTAGAGGTTTGCCCAATAAGATGCCGTAAAAACACGCCCTAAGCATCTACATTTTGATTTCTGGTTTACCCACAATAATGTATTTATTCCCAACAGTGTATGCCAATACTGTAACTGGGCTTCACTTTAGTTGATTATGCTATAATTTTCTTCTCAACCTAGAACCTAGGGGAAGTACTCAACAGTTGGAACATACATGTGCCATATATAACCTACTAGTCAAGGGGCAAGGCGATCTCATCTTTACCAGCAATCGCGCGGTCTTCTAGTGGAGTTAGGCTGGTGAAGGTGAGGAGTGAGGGGCCAAGTGTGGGCAGGCTGGCATATTCCCCACCTCAATCCCATGACAAACAAAACACCTCAGTCGGGCCAGGCTCGCCACAACCCCAACACCTGAATCGCCAGCTATCCCCCTGCGTGTGGGCTGGCAGCACTACAAGACCGAGTGGCTGCACGGCGAAAGAAAGTGATGCAGAACGAAAGCAGACGCAGCGAAATGTGACTGTCTCCGCACAGTTCGCGTAGGCGTAATCAGCTACCACCACACGTGAGAATCTCGCGAAGATATCGACGAAAGAGAAAGCAATTTCTGCGCGCCGCGCGGTTTGGGTCCATAGCACCTACAGTATTGATCCTCCATCAGATTCAAGCACCTCGCGGAACTTCGGATGGGGCCGAATGGGGCCGAATGGGGCCCGATCTCAGGAAGGCACCTACAGATAGATACAAGCACGACAGTCAGCACGACAGTGTTATTTTAGTTTCCTGTCGCGACTTACAGGCATTAATCCAAGACAGTTCGCAGAGTCTTTACGTGAAAGGCACGGAGACCCCTAACATCCGGTGCATCGCTGCGTCATTAGGCATCCACAGCAAGAACCATGCGACGGCCCTGCTCACCACTTCGCCGCTTAACGGGGCGGAGTATGTCGCGAATATCGCCTGCGCTAGTGCCAGTGACGCTGCTGCTATGGCTGTCGCTCGCCGCGTCGCACTGGCGACGGTCCCTCGGGCAGCAACTTGAGCAGCATCTCGGGCAGCAGCTCGGCGAGCTGTCCCGCTTCAGAGACATGGTGAGCGCTCTCGAACTTATCACAGGACGCGTGAAACATTCTGACAGTTTTGTACTGACTCGACTCAAACACACCATTTTTCAGGAAAAGTTTATCTCCCCGACTGTGTTTTCTGAATCATTGAATGAAAAACACATGAGGGTCGCTCTGGCAGCAGCTCGGCGAGCTGTACCGCTTCACAGACATGGTGAGCGCTCTTGAGCTGTGGAGCGGCTCGCTCTCGAACAACGAATTTCTCTTGAGGCGCTTTACAAATTAGCTCCTCAAATATAGGGGCCTCAAAACGAGCTGGACCAGTTCAGACATAGAGAGCGCACTCGAGTGTTTGAGCACTTTTGAGAAATCTCAAAAGTGACGCAAGTAGAGAAATTATCGTCGCGTTTCGATGATTTTGAGTGCACGTGCCTTCCACGCGTGTTCCCGTCAAATAGCTCCACCGTCACCTCCTCTTGGCTCGTCGAACTCTCCCTGAGTCCACAATCCTCGCTTTTCCTCTCCCCGAACCCCCAACATCCCTTCAGCCTGACGACAGCCCTCGAAGACGATTAGAGCGCTTCCAGTCCGATGAGACCCCAATCCTGCAGTCCCTTCCAACCGCCGCCATCCGCGCCGTGAAAAGCGCCGGCAGCAGCGCCGACCGCAGACGCGGAGGCGCCACCAAGGTGGAAGGCGCTTCCGCCGCCGCTGCTGGCTTCCCCTCCTCCGCCTTCCCCCGCGTGTTCGAGTCGGGGCAGGGCTCGTGCGGCTTCCCCGACACGCGCGCAGACGCGGACGAGTGCGTGGCGGACCTGGCGGAGTTTCCCGCACTCAGCGCGCGCAGTGGTTCCGCCACCGTGCGGAAGTTGGCGTGCCTGGCGCACAACTACCTGCGCCCGTGGATGGGGATTCCGGGCGTCACCGCGGGGATGGGCGCGCGGGGAATGATATCCGCGGAAATTCTGCACCAAATGGGAACCATGGCAAATGTATGTGAGGGCGATCACGAGCATAACGGTGACAATAGTAGCGCTACGTGTTCTCGAAACTTCAAAAAGGGTGCTCTCATTTCGCATTCCGCCACGCCCTCCTCTCCTTACTACGCTGTAAACTATATGATTTTCTTACTCGACCGTCTTCTGCTTCTATTCTCCCAATACCACCCCCTTCTCCTCCCGTCCTCTCCCTCCCCGTTCTCCCCTCCCTCCCGGCACCCCCGCGTCTCATTCCGTTTCCTCCTTTACCATCCCTCCCCCTCCCTTGGGTCCGACCAGATCCTATCGTGCTCCGGGCACATTCGAATCGTGCGCGGAAAAGTTTTTCTTCCGCCTGGGGGCTTTCCAGTTCGACTGGTACCGCATGCGCCGATTCGTCCTTACCGTCAAAATGATCCAGGACGCCATTAGCGCGTATAAACTGTACAGCCTGAACGCGGAGCTGTTTATAAACACATGCGATCTGCCAACCAGCAAGGCGGACTCGGTCGCGCGGCAGGATCGCGCGGGAATGCCTTTGTTCAGTCCGCACGTCGTCCCCGGCTCGCTCGATATTCCGTATCCCGACCCCGTCGATCTGTCCAAGAGCTACTTCCGAGACGTTGAGGATAAGGTGCGTGCGACCGTATTTTACGCAGTGGATCTGAAGTGAAGTTGGTCAGCTGGAAATATTTGCGCACGGATCTGTGACTGTTCTTTCCCACGCCGCTAAACCTGAAACCTCGATACTCGCTACCCCGACTCCACTGTACAGTTCAGGTGAGTATACTGGACAAAAGTGCTTGAATACTTCAGCAAACACAGTAAATATTGTGCGATTTCCAATCAATCACCCTATCTCCAATCGCTTCATATCCATGCAAAGGGCAAATCAGAGCCTCATTAACGGACTATCCTCCCCTCCCTTTTCCCCACCCCCACACCTCAGGTCCCTTGGGAGCAAAAGCAGGGCCGGGCGGTGTTCCGGGGCGGGATGACAAACTACCACATCGCCATGCCCATGCACTGGCGCGCCAGCCCTCGCTTCCGCGTGCACCGCATGGCAGATGCCCGCCCGGATCTGCTAGACGCGCGCGTCATGAGCGGTGTGGATGTGAGATGGCGTGAGAGCTTGGAGGCGGATGGGGTGCGGCTGGGCGGGAGATTAAAGCCCGAGGAGCTGCAGGGGTTTAAGTATGAGCTGGATGTGGACGGCGGGACAGGGAGCGGCCGGACGTGTGGGATTCTGGCGAGCAATCAGGTATTCAAGTAGTCTCATTTTGGCTCCCTGTTGTAGTGCTCTCTATTTTGCTCCTCGCCCCATTTTCCCATCCCCCCTCTCCCCCATAATTGCTTCCTCTCTCATGCACACTCGCTCCCACACACATATTCATGGTGTGTCACCTCTCTCTCCTCTCCCCACATGTACTCATGTGCCAAGCCAGATAGCACTACCAGAGTGCTTGACAAGTATCAAAAGCCCTACTCATTCATGCCAGTAACCTCATCCTCCTACAACCCCATTTCCCCCCCCTCCCTCCTTCGTTCCTCTTCTCCTCCATCTCCTCCTCTTGTTCCAACCCGTATCCCTCCTGCTTCCCTCCCCCACCCTTCATAACGTGTTTACAGGTTTTGATTTGCCAAGCCAGCGAGTACTATCAGTTGTTCCACCCGCTGCTGTGCCACATGACTCCCACCCTTCCCACCCACCGCCACTTCTCACTTCCTTTTCCTTCCTCCACCTTTTCTGATGTGCGCACAGGTTCTGATCCGCCAGGCCAGCGAGTACTATCAGTTCTTCGACCCGCTGCTGTGCCCTATGAAGCACTTCCTCCCCACCCACCGCTACTTCAACAACCTTTACTCGCAAATCCAGTGGGCCCGCGCCAACGACCAACGGGCACGGGAGATTGTTGCGGCTGCCAATGACTTTGCCAGGTAAGTCACACAACCGATACCTATTACTTCCAATGAAGCACTTCCTGCCCACCCACCGCTACTTCAGCAACCCCTACTCGCAAATCCAGTGGGCCCCGCGCCAACAACCAACGGGCACGAGAGATTGTTGCTGCCGCAAATGACTTTGCCAGGTAAGTCGCCTATTTACTAACATGCAGTGATAGGGGTCGTTTTCCTCCCCTCCATCCCTGTTGTCTTCTCAGTCTCCTTGCCCCTCCCTTCCCCTCCCCCACACACCCTCTCCGTCCTGTAACTAACTTTGCCCGGTTCATCGCAGTTTCTCCCCGCACCATTCCCCCTCAATTTCTCTCATTTCTTCCCACACTTGTTTCGTCTCTCATCCCTCCTCTCTCATTCCTCCTCTCTCATCCCTCCTCTCTCGTCCCTGCTCTCTCATCCCGCTCCTATCCTGCAGCACCCTGTGCACGTGGGAGGGGTGCCAGCTATTCTGGGCTATTTTGCTCGTCAAGTACCCCAAAGTGCCTTAGAGCACAGCGCCAGCATCACAGCTCCGCCTCCCCTGATGCCCCTGGGTCGTTCCCCCCCCTCTCTAACCATTTTCTCATGTCTTTCCCCCCCTGTTTCCTCTCTTATCCTTCTCCTCCCTGCAGCACCCTGTGCATCACAGCTCCTCCGATCCCCTTGAGGGTACTTCTCCCACTCTCACACAACTTTCTTCTCTATTCCTCACTTCGTCTCGGGCTTCTCTTATCCTCTCCCCTCATGCAGCACTCTCTGCACATGGGAGGGACGGCGTCTCTTCTGGGCTATCCTGCTCGCTAAGTACGCCACCAGTGCCCTAGAGGACAGCGCCAGCATCACAGCCCCGCCTCTCCACCCCTGCTCCTCTCCTCCTACTCAAGCCGACGTAGAGAAGCCCAGCAAGGCCACGCGGCACTTGAGACAAAAGATGCCAGCCGTGTGGCCGCCCTGGTGTGGTACAAAAGACGAGGTCCCCAACCAGCCGGAGTGTACTTATTACTGTATCGGGTACTTGGACGACGAGAGCAAGTGGAAGTGGCTATCGGGGGAGCTCTTAGAGGGGATAGAAGTGTTCAAGCCAAGCAATGAGAGGGTGCGATTTCGAGACGAGTGAGGGAGAAAGGCGGAAAGGGATCACTGCAGGAAGTCTTATGCAACAGGAATGAACTGCTGGTGTGCCGAGCCCAAGTGGCCCAGTGACTGCAGCTGATGAATGAACTGCTGGTGTGCCGAGCCCAAGTGGCCCAGTGACTGCAGCTGATGAAATGCTGCTCATGTGCCTCTTTGGGAGTCACTTTTGAGAATTCTCAAAAGTGCTGATGTGCCTCATGTCATGCGCTGCCTGCAGCTAGCCTGGCTGTGGCCCAACTCCTGGATGCTGCGCTGCAAGAATACCAGTGCCTGTGGGAATAAAGGACCCAAGTGGCCCAAGTACGAGTGGCTGCAGGAGGTTACAGGTGGTAACTAAAGAAAGCTCACTCCATGGCTTCTTCGCTACAATGTAGTGCACTGAAGCTCACAATAGGATTTCATGGACCGTGTCGAAGCGTGTACAGTTTCTGTGCAATGCGAGCAACTTACGGTATCGCATTTCCTGCATTCCCACCAAGTTTAATTGGTGCTGACGGGGACAAAGTAATTCAACCATGTGTAAACTTATTACTTATAAGATAAATGCATTCATATTTCATGGATGAAAGCACACACATAAATTTCTCACTTCAAGAACAAGCAGACAGCAATAGAAGAACGATCTAGAACCAGCTACAACAAAAAAGCCAGTAATCACAAACAAGCATGGAGTGGGAGGATGGGCTTTGATGCACCTCAGCAGCACGTGCAATGGGGCTTGAGGTGAATCAAAGCTCATCCATTCACTGGCTAGTCCCCTCCCCTGGTCATCTCCTTGACATTCCCTTATCACTCCCATTGGCATTCCCTTATCATTCCCTTTGCCATTCCCTTCACTAGTTTCTTGTCCCTCGGCTTTCTCCGCCTCTGTGCCTTGACTGAGACTGAGTTGCTTGAGGCACTTGGTTTCCTGCCTGCCTGTCCACTGTGAACCGCTAAGGCCTGCCCCCTCCCATGCCTCCTCCCCCCATGCCTCCTCCCCCCATGCCTCCTCCCCCCCATGCCTCCTCCCCCATGCCTCCTCCCCCATGCCTCCTCCACCTCCGCCCATCCCTCCCCCCTCCCCTGCATCCCTCCTCCGCCCATGCCACCCCAGGCCCTCCCATTCCTCCGCCCCCTCCCCATGCCCCCCGCCTCCTCCCATGCCCACGCCTCCTCCCATCCCCCCCACCACCGCCCATCCCTCCGCCTCCGCCCATCCCCCCAGACCCTTCCATGCCACCACCAGCAGCACCACCGCCCATGCCTCCTCCGCCAGTCACTCCCCCAGGCCCTCCCATTCCCCCGCCAGCAGCACCGCCGCCCATGCCTTCGCCGCCCATGCCTCCGCCGCCCATGCCTCCGCCGCCCATGCCTCCGCCGCCCATGCCTCCGCCGCCATGCCTCCGCCGCCATGCCTCCGCCGCCCATGCCTCCGCCGCCCATGCCTCCGCGCCCATGCCCCGCCACGCCGCATGCCTCCGCCGCCGCCAGCGCCCATGCCTCCCCGCCAGCCCATGCCTCCGCCGCCCATGCCTCCGCCGCCCATTGCCTCCGCCGCCCATGCCTCCCGCCCATGCCTCCACCGCCCATGCCTCCGCCTCCACTCATACCGCCCCCAGATGGGCCTCCCTGACTGCCGCCCTGACTGCCACCCGTCCCTCCGCTGTAATCCCACTGTAGTCCCCAGTGTAGCTCCCTCCGTTATAGTCACCACCATTGCCACCACCATTGCCCCCTCCAGTGGTCCTCCCGCTGTAGTCACCACCATTGTTGTAATCCCCTCCATTCCCCCCACTATAGTCACCACCACCATTCCCACCACCATAGTCTCCGCCATTGCTTCCCCCACCATAATCCCCCCCAGGTCCCCCCTGCCCTCCTCCAGCTCCCCCTTGCCCGCTCCCAGGGTCCGCCCTGCCCATTCCCAGGCCCCCCGCCTTGCCTTGCCCTCCCCCACAGCCCCCACCAGCAGCAGCAGCACCACCAGCCCCTCCCCCCCCTCCTGCACCGCTGTAGTACCCACCTTGTCCGACTGTGTTCCTCCCACCATTACCGCCATTGCCGCCGCTGTAGCCCCCTCCGTTGCTGTAGTCACCACCATTGCCGCCCACAGCTCCCCCTTGCCCGCCCCCAGCACCAGTTCCGCCCTGCCCGCCCCCAGGTCCGCCCTGTCCTCCTCCAAATCCCCCCTGTCCCCACCGAATCCGCCTTGCCCGCCCCCAGGCCCTCCCTGTCCCCCACCAGGTCCCCACGTCCGCCCCCAGGCCCTCTTCTGCAGTCCCCCCCACCGCCTCCCCTTCCTCCGCCTCCAGCACCCCCACCACCTCTACCTCCGCCACCACCACTCCCCCCACCACCGCTGCCACCCCCATAGTCACCACCGCTCCCCCCCATTATTGTCACCTCCACCATTGTAGTCCCCTCCATTCCCCCCGTTATAATCACCGCCGCCATTACCACCACCGTAATCACCACCCCCATTGTTCCCCCCGTTGTAGTCACCCCCGTAGTCGCCCCCACCTCCGCCAGTGCCTCCCCCCGCGCCCCCACCAGTGCCGCCACCCCCCTCCCCCTCCGGACGAGGCAGAGGAGCACGCGAAGTCCACTTGCAGCGCTCCACTGGGAGGAGGGTTAAGAGGGGAAGAACGGGAGGGGGAAAGAGGGAGAGGGAGAGAGGGAGACGGGAAAGCAGGAGCATGGGAAAAGATGAAACTAAGAAAACAAATGAAAGATGGGAAGATTTGAAGGCTGAAGTTATATGCACGGGACTGCACTCACTCATCGCTGGCTTGGAACATAATGGATCTGCACTCGCTCTCTCACCCTTTCTGGACTGGAACACTCACTCATATCCGGCGTGGAAGCCGAGCGACTGCGAGCCATCGGGGGAGTGCGCCCACACGAGTGTGTTGCTGCCCTGCACGCTCACCGGCACTGAGCCGTCACCTGCAGAGCGGTTGAACCTGTTAATAGGAGGGAGGGTGTGAGAGGGGATGGGATAGTAATGAGTGTGTGGGTCCGAGCCTCCGAGAGGAAAAGATGTAAGCAAAAAAAAGAACTCACACCCTGAACCGAAACCCTGAGCCTCATTTTTGCAAAGTAGATTTCTCTGACATAACGACAACAAAAAAGCCGACAACATCTCACACGCGCCCCGACGTACTTGAAAATGGTGGATCCCGAGGGTGACGTGGCGAGCTGCGCGTTGCCGATATCGAAGCTGCTTGTGGGCTGAACGTCACTTTGCGCCGTGCCGCTCATGTACACCGCCTGGACGGCGGCGCCGCCCGCCAGATTGCCCACCACGGCGTCGGACGCCGCCATGCGGCCCGTCGCCGACCACCCCACGGCGAACCACCCCGCCGCCGCCGCGCTGCCGCCCGCCGCTTCTAGCGCCAAGGCGAGGCGCGACGAGTCCACTGCGCGCCAATGCAGCGTCATTCCAGTGGACCCCAGAGCCGCCGACCACGCGAACCCCTCCAGCGCCGACGCCGCGCACCCCCGCGCCCGCCGCCGCGGCTGTAGCAGCCGCGGAGCCAGCAGCGGCGGTTGTAGCACCGGCGGTAGTGGCAGGAACTGTAGTGCTGCCAGTGTTGCTCCTTTTACCGGCGTTGACATTGCCACGAAGAATCGTGCTTCCTGACGTCCATATCGTGTGCGCTATGGTCCGGCTGCTCGATACCACTCCCTGCGACCGAAGCGTCTTGTGTCTCGCGCCGTCTGTGGCGCTTGGAAAGCAGAGCAACGCAGAGCCCAGCAGCAGTAGAAGAATCACGCCGCTGCTGTCTGCTATACTAGCAGGCGCTATCGCCTTGCGTCGATGCATTGCGAAGGGAGAGTAGCCGCTGAACAAAATCAGCGAAGCAAGTGTCACGCCTTTTTGTAGGAAAAATGTGCAGCAAGCAATAAATTTATAGTAGCCGTAGAATGTCTGTTGCTGTCTCTGTGTTGTGTATTGATTTTCGCATTCTGTTCAATTTATCTACGTGGAGTGCCCCTCTGCAAAACTGACAGGAGAGAAATCGTACTGCGAACACCGGCGACTGCGCATAACAGGTCGTTCGGGAGACAAACGTGGGCGAAAAGCTCCAAACCGAGCTCGCGAAACTCGCAAACCTTCTGATAACTCTCTGCGAGCGCTGCGATCCTGATTCGGAGAAATTGCTTGACGACGGATTCAGAAGTGCGCTGACCCTCGTCATCGCAACCTTGAGAATAGCTGACTGGGCGTGTTTGACTCGTCAACTTACTGGCTCGACAACAGTCCAGAGAATTCAAGAGAACGCTGCATGAGTGGCGCATCTGCTATAAGCAAAGAGTGTAGACCCTTAAACCAATGAAGTGAATATAATAAATACAAGTCCCGTTCCATGCATAGCGAACATTTCGCCATGTTTCATGATGTATTTTAATTTATAAAACTCAAAATAGTTTTCTTTCCCTTAATAAATAGTCTATAATATTCTGAATCTGTTTTAGATGACTTCTTGTAATATGCGTTGCAAATACGCGTTGCATTGAAATAATGGCAAACATTTACGGTGTAATATCAAGTTTGAATACTTGGATGTTGGGGGCTCGGCTTTGCAGCTTCGTTGAAGGGGCTCCAGCCAACCAGGAGGTGTGCTGACATTTTGCAGCCTATTGCTGATCTGGTGCTTGCGTCACATGGGCTCTCGCATCCACGTCATCCGCCGACTTGACCAAAGGGAATTGTTTCCCGCAACAACTGCCCCTTTCCCGACGCCCTGAATCTGAAACAATGGCGCGATGCTGTTTTGTGAACCACCTGGAGCCATAATTGCAGCTAGTTCTGATTCACAAGCGCCTAGTCTTCCTGACGCTCGTTTTGTGACGGACCATGGGGCTAGCGCGAGCTTGATTGAGCATTTTGAGCCTAGGACTGGCGAGTTTCTCATACTGTACCGTCGCCTGTCAGGCTGCAATAACATCACTCATCACATACATTGTCGCTCCGTGCTTCCACGGCTCGTTCACAGCTGCGTCGTTCATTGTAGGACACTCACAACTGCTTGCAGCCGAATTGCGGATTCGCTCTATGCACAAATGCCATCGCACCACATCCGTTCCGCTATTATAAACGGTTTTGTTAGCTAAGTGTTTGTTGAAGCTCGTCATTTCTGACGCCGCTGACGGTCATCCATCGACCCGTTACCATCATGCTGCTCGTTAGGATAGGTTGTGGGCTACGGGGAACAACGCTGGCTGATCAATAGTGATCAGGCTTCAGTTGAAACGACAGACCGAAACCAGGCTCCACCGCAGGACTATAGCGCAATCAAGACCTGCATTGTAACAGTCATGTCCAGATTTCGGAGATTAGCTAGGCTGATAGAGGGCATAACGTTCCCCCCGGAGGCTGATTCTCGCCGACCAGAGAGCAATAGCCGGACCAGAAGCAGTGCAAGAATGGAGTCAACATTCAGCTTGTACAGTGCGACATACGAGAAGCTTAGTACCGGCAAACTTGTCTGACCGTAGAACAAGTGCAGCTGTAGTTGTACCGGAGTGCGCTCTTAACGGGTTGAGTCAGCGGTGGTCTTATAACGGGTTGAATCAACGGTGGTCTTATAGCGGGTTCAGTCAACGAAGATTCTGGAGCTCGGCAGCGTCGTCTGGCGATGCTCTTCCAGCCTCGGCTCCTGAAGTCAAGGTCTTCCGAGCGGGCCCGCAAGGCGAGTACGAGCGGCGGAAGCAGCTGGGGGAGCTGCGAACGGGCGATCCGTTTCAGGACGAAACCGTGGCGACGCTCCAGAAGCTTTACGACGTGCTGATCGGATTCGGAGGCCACCCCGAGTTCCAACTGCAGAAGTAAGCATCCCATTCCCTTTTCCATCCCACTCCTTCCGCCTTCTCCTCCTCTCTCATTCTCTCCCCATTTCCCCCCATTCCCCCCCACTTCCCTCTCCTTCTACATCCCCTCTCCTCCTTCCCCCCTTCTTTCCCCTTCCCCTACTCCCGTCTTCCCTCCCCTCCTCCCTCTCTAGCGTGCTCCGTTCTCCACCTCTCCACCGTCACTTTCACCATTGTTTCTTCTTTCCAGCATCTTTCAGTTCACATGTTGTTCTTTCCTCCTAAAAAGCCTCTCCCTGTAGTTCTTTAAAGCCTCGCTGGAAATGATTCATCCATTCCCATCCCTTCCCCAACAACAAGCAGGAGGAAGAGGCGGCCGGCCTTCTGGTCGCTCTTCATGCGCAAGCCGCAGAGCCACCCGCCCAGGAGAGGGCTTTACCTGCCCTCGCCATAGCCCCTCTGTGTATAATATACCTCATCGTCCCCATTCACTCCCAACACCGCGCAGGAGGAAGCGGCGGCCGGCCTTCTGGTCGCTGTTCATGTGGAAACCACAGAGCCACCCGCCCATGAGGGGCCTTTGCCTGTAGTCCTTTAAGGCCTCTCTGAGAATCCCCCCATAATCCCCATTTTCTCCCGAAACCTGTGGCAGGAGGAAGCGGCGGCCGGCCTTCTGGTCGCTGTTCATGCGGAAACCACAGAGCCACCCTCCCATGAGGGGCTGTACCTGTGGGGCGGCGTGGGCACAGGCAAGACCATGATGATGGACCTCTTCTTCCACGAGCTGTGAGTGTTGAAGATCCTCTACCACGACTCCATGCTCTCAGTGCACTCCATGCTCTCAGTGCACTCCATGCTCTCAGTGCACTCCATGCTCTCAGTGCACTCCATGCTCTCAGTGCACTCCATGCTCTCAGTGCACTCCATGCTCTCAGTGCACTCCATGCTCTCAGTGCACTCCATGCTCTCAGTGCACTCCGTGCTCTCAGTGCACTCCGTGCTCTCAGTGCACTCCGTGCTCTCAGTGCACTCCCTGCTCTTAGTGCCTTGCGAGCAGCTTGGTTGATGCATGTTCACCATTCGTCCCCCTTGTGTTTTTCCCTCTCGTCAGCCCCGAGTGGATCACCAAGTCGAGGATTCACTACCACGACTTCATGCTCTCAGTGCACTCCAGACTGCAGGCAAGTCTTGCCACGTAGGCAGTGAGGCCACGTATGCAGCTCCCTGCAGAGTTCTCTGTATTCCTCTGGAAGGATCATTTTCTGTTTTCAAAGGACAATTTGCTGTTGCTGCCTCTGGATAAGGCTTGATGTCCTGCTCTCCGCCTTCTCCCTCTCCTCTCCTCGCAGAAACACAAGGGCACGTCCGACCCCTTGGAGGTTGTGGCGACCGAAATCACGTCTGAAACGAGAGTTCTGTGCTTGGATGAGTTTATGGTGAGTGTTGCATGGGGTGAGCTTTGAGTCGACTAGAAAGTCACAAGGGCACATCTGATCCTTTGGAGGTCGTGGCTACCAAAATCACGTCTGAAAGGAGAATTCTGTGATTGGATGAGTTTATGGTGAGTGTTGCACAGAATGACAGAAAATAACAAATGCTTGTCTTGCCACTTGAAAACTGTGGCGAACGAGATCACATCAGAAACAGGAGTTTATGTCTTGGTGATTTTATGATGCATGCAGCATGGGGTGACTTTTGCGTTCGCTAAAGTCACAACGGCACATCTGACCTCTTGGGGGTGATGGTTAACGAAATTACCTTTGTAACGAATGCTTTGTGCGTGAATGAGCTCATGGTGACTGGAGTGCAAAGCAGTAACATTATGAAAAAGCATGGATGAGTTAATGTTTGAATGTTTTCGTAATATGTGTGGAACTTGTAGTGAATGTCGTGTGAGGTGAGCTCCTGCTGTTGTCATGCTTGCGGCTTGCCATTTCTTTCCTTTTCTGCATGCCTTCACCACCTTACACTCCTCCAATCTTTCTCACTTCCTCCATATCTCTCCCTGCCTCTCTGACCCGCACTGCAACCCTCCCAACCCCTCCAACCACCACTTGTCAGGTAACAGACGTTGCAGATGCCATGATTCTCAACCGCCTCTTCAAGCATTTATTCGACAGAGGACTGGTGAGAGGCCTTGGGAAGTAGCTACCTCCCTTTCTAACTCTTTTCTCGTAGCTGTTTTCCTTGCTAGCGACACTGATGTCTTGATGCCATGATCCTCAACCGCCTTCTCAAGCACCTGCTTGACAGACGACTGGTGAGAAGCTACCTAAATCCCTCTTACAATACGGAGGCGACTTCTGCGTCGACTCAAAAGCCTCCATAATGCCATGAGTCTCAACTGCCTCCTCGAGCACCTGCTTGACAGACGACTGGCGAGTTACGTCCTTCCATATCAGCCCAGGTTTGAGATGTGTCATAACCTTTTCCCACACCACCAGTACCCTCATGTCTTTTCCGTCATCCCACTCGTATCCATGATCTCCAGGTGCTCCTAGCAACATCCAATCCAACCGCCCCCCTATACGCCTCTACGAGGCTCCAACAGGACCAAGCACTGAGGCGTTGCATAACTTCATCCATACTTTATCCATGCATCAACACCTGTCGTTTCTCCAGGTGCTCGTGGCAACATCTAACCGCCCCCCAATACGCCTCTACGAGAACGGCCTTCAACGGGACCTCTTCCTCCCCTTCATCGCTCTCCTCCAGGTGGGCCCCAGCTCCCTCTCAGGTGCCCCATTGCTCCCATTCAGGTGGTGCTTCTCCCTTCCAGGTGAACCCCCTCTCCCTTGCAGTGCAGGTAACCTCCTACTCTCTTTCCCCACCAGCTAGCTTCAAAACACCTATTCCGCCGCCACCCCGCCTTCCCTCCACACCACGTCCTCCTGGCTTTGCAAGAACCTCTTCCTCGCCCCGGTTCCAAGGAACCTCTTCCTCCCCTCTTCCTCCACTCGGCCTCCCCTTGGCTTTGCAAGTATGGGGAGGCGAAGGGGAGGAAGAGGAGGTTCCGACCCTGGCTCCTCTGCTACAGCTGCTTGTTTGTGGTAGAGTCAGTCCGAAACACTGTAAATCCAAAAGTGCTTGCCACACGATGCAGAAAATAAAGCAAGCACACGCATGGTACAAGCAAAGGGTAGGTGGGACGGGCTGGGCCGGCCCAACCCAAGCCATGTGGCCCTGCCCGAACCAATTCATGTGGCTTGGTTCGGGCTAGTTTTGAGGCGCCTCAAAACTAGGCTTGGTTCGGGCTTCAGGCCGGACGAATTACGAACCAGCGTGAAACAGGTTGGTCAGGACTTTGGCCCTTTGCTGGCCCATGCTTGGCATACCATGCATGCTGTGGTGCCTGAACTGAAGTCAACACGTGCTCCTGCCATCCCCATACTCTGTTCTTGCTTTTTGCAGTCTCAGTGTGTGGTGCATGAGATCCAGTCAATGACTGACTACAGAAAGCTGGCAGCGGTGAGTGTTGTCTCGGGTAGTGCTGCACACACACTCATGCACACCCACAACCACACACACATACACATACACCACCACACACACAGACAGGCAAACACACACACACACACACAGACACACACACACACACACACACACAACACACACACACACACACACACACACACACACAGCTGCACCCCTGCTTCCAGGCCCAGTGTGTGTGTGGTGGACGAGGTAACGGACTCCAGAAAGCTGGCAGCAGTGACTGATTGGTCTCTTGATAGTGCTGCACGCGCGCACACACACAGCCGCGTGCATGCACGGCTGTATGCACAGCTGCATGTACAGCTGCATGTACAGCTGCGCGCACACACACGGCTGCGGCCATGGTTCCAGGCCCAGTGTGTGGTGCATGAGGTCGAGTCAATCAGAGACCACAGGTAGCTGACAGCGGTGAGTGTGTGCGTGAGTGCACTTGAGATTAACATTGAACGGCGATACTTGCTGATGAAGAACAAATGTAACCCACCTCATTGCTTCTTGAGTCGACTCAAAAGTCAACTCGAGTGTGTGCGTGAGTGCGCTTGAGATAAAATGTAACGGGGATACTTGCGGGAAAAGAACGAATGAAACCCACCTCATTGCTCACCCTCCGTTCCCTCAATCAACCCCACCCTCCCTTCCCTCAATCAACCCCACCCTCCGTTCCCTCAATCAACCCCACCCTCCCTTCCCTCAATCAACCCCACCCTCCCTTCCCTCACCATATTGCAGATATCCAAGTAGAAAATTATTATGAACATTCAGGTTTTGACGATTATCCTGTGGTAGGTATTACTTGGGAAACAGCTAAGTACTATGCGAACTGGCGCTCCCAGTATTTAAATGATTATAGGGAAAAAAAGGATTACCTCCCTATCCTAGTTTCAGCCTTCCTACTGCAGCACAATGGGAATACACCCTCTGCTCCCTCTTTCCATCTGCAGGTGGAGCAGGGGTGGTACTTCACAGGGCTGGGAGGCAGCACTGCTGGGGAAGAAGTTGGAGCTGCTGGTGGGAGGGGCGGAGCTGCTGAGTCTGAGAGTGAAGAGGAATGTAACTCGCCACACTATCCACCCTCCGTTCCCACTCCCCAACCTCTCCCCTTCCACCGTGTGAGCAGGTGGAGCAGGGGTGGTACTTCACAGGCACAGGGGCGGCAGCGCTACTGGGGAAGAAGGTGGAGCTGCTGGTGGGAGGGGCGGACCTGGGCCCTGTGGACGTTGAAGTGCTTATGGGAAGGAAACTCAGGGTGAGTGGCTCTTGGTCTCCTTGTTTCTCCTTGCACTTCCTTTCTTTCACCCCTTCGCTCTCACTCCTCATTCCTCCACTCTCGGTCCTTTGTTCTCATCATGGGAAGGGCGGGGATGGGCCCTGTGGACGTGGAAGTGTTCTGATAAAAGTGTGGTTTGGAGTTGGGCACTTTTGGTGGAATTTCTCCAATCTTGGTGCTTCTTGGTTCTCTCAAAACTACACTTTTATCAGATGGGCCCTGTGGACGTGGAAGTTCTCTGGCCATTTATGGTGTGAGTAGCATTTCATCCTCACTCCCTTCATCCTTCCCATCCCCACCATCAGGGAACTGGCAGCAGTGCACTTATTTGAGCTCTGTGATGTGCCTCTCGGTGCTGCAAGGTGCCTCTCGGTGCTGCAGACTACTCTCTCATTTGCTTCCAATGTGTCCCACCCCTCCTCTACTTCCCCCCCCCCCCCTCCTCCCCTTTCCACCTCCTCTCCACATTTCCACCATCAGGTGCAACGAGCAGCCTGTCGGAAACCTCTGCACCTCCTGCAAGGGGGTCACAGCACTCAGATTCTTTGACCTCTGTGAGGTGCCTCTCGGTGCTGCAGACTCTTGTCTTGTCTCACTTGATTCCAATCTTTCTCCACATCCCCACCATCAGGTGCAACGAGCAGCCAAGGGAGTGGCGGCAGTCAAATTCTTCGAGCTCTGTGAGAGGTGCCTCTCGTGCTGCAGGGTGCCGTTCGGAGCCGCAAGGTGCCTCTCGGTGCTGCAGGGTGCCGTTCGGAGCCGCAAGGTGCCTCTCGGAGCTGCTGACTACTCATTCGATCCCATTGTTGCCCTTCCCTCCCCCACCATCAGGTGCAACGAGCAGCCAAGGGAGTGGCGGCAGTCAAATTCTTTGAGCTCTGTGAGGTGCCGCTTGGTGCTGCTGACTACTTCGCCCTCTGCAGTAAGAAATGTGCCCTCGGCCGAAAGCCGCCGCCGCAAGCCGTTGACACAAGAGAAGGAAACTCATCTAGAAAGAAAATAATAGAGCCAGGAACTCTAGGTAGAATGGTTTTTTGTTTTTTTTTTGTTTTTACATGTTCCAAAAACCCAATATCCCTTTGCGGTATGTCTCGTTCCTTCGTTGTGAGACCTATATAGACCCGATATTCCTTCCCAGTATGTCTCATTCACTTGTTTTGAGACGTTCCAAAAACTCGATGACCCTTTTCCAGTTT